ATGCTGCTGCTGCTGCTGCTGCTGCTGCTGCTGCTTATCATTAGGAAGGGCTTTAAAGGGGCTGATTAGGCTACCTAACAGACGCACCATTGCATTGTCAATAACAGTCTCAGTTGCCCCAATTTGTGCATTCAAAGTACTTCGTTTTGCTATGATTCATTCCTTGGCTTATTCACTCCCCACCCCATGGTTCAATGGCCCATGCCATATAAAACCCACAACTTGTACATGCTTTCTCCAGCCCTGGCCTCATCTAAGATGATCTAAAGCTTGGAAACATTGCCAATTGCCCTGAAAAAGGATCATCCTCAAGCTTAATAGAAAACAGATTAATTTGGAACCCAAAAATGCCAACTCATGAAAGCCATATTCCCACCCACATTATTTTTTTCTGAAAGGAAAAGGCCAGTGCAGAAGATGGGATCCTTGTCCTGCCACTGGATAAACAAAGCTGATTGGTATTCTGACATCAACTTAAAAATGCTGGAGAAGGTTAAACACCAATAGTGCTAGCTAAATAATCTATCCATGTGGAATGGGGGCATATCCATTCCTCTCCAGTTAATTTTATCATGGGGTATGGGGGCTCCAAATTATTTGACAATGTTTTTTGAAACTCACCCATGTATTAGCAATGTGCAATTCCCAAGCACTTGACTTCCATAGGCTCTGACTATTGCTCATTCTGCAGATTTCTAATTTTGATCTTAATTTGCTCTGAAGATCTCTTTCTTCTTTCTTTCTGAGGCATAGCAATCATTTGGAAGGGTAGTCAATAAAGAGAAAAGTTGCAGAAACAGCCCAGGGAAACCGGCAACAAGCCATATATTAAAATAATAAATATAACTGATTGTGGGGGATTTTTTCCAAAGTAGTCAGTGGAATAGTCCTCTGAGCAGAGGCCATTCACAAAATAATGGTGAAATGAAAGGTCCTACCCCCCATTCCAGGGCCATTGGTTATATGGGTTGGAAATGATAGTAGTTGCAATTCACCACAACTGGAGGACAAGAAAGGTTGTCCAAAGCCAATAGAGCATGGAATAACTCAGTGGTTTAGTTCAGCATGGGAAGTAGTAGTACCCCTAATGTCCTCCTTTCCAATGTGAATGGAGCTAATGATTCCATCTCATGCCTAAAATGTACATAGAGAAATAAAAATGATTAGTTGAAAGGGACCTTAGTGCTCATTTAGCCCAACCCAAGAGGTGACCACTCTTCCCCCATTTGAAAATCTCCACAAGGAGGCATCCACCACTGTTATACAGAGATTCTTCCACTGCTTAACAGCTCTCCCTGTCAAGAAATTATTCCAAATAATCAAGAGTTATAGCTACCGATGTGTCAGTTTTCCTGTTTGTACTCCTGTTAAAGGCACAAAAGCCACACCCTGCAACTAGACAATACATTGGTGCTGGGATGGGGTTCCTCAAATTCAGTGAAGGCATAATGGGAACTTCGGGACACCTGTTGATGTGAGCATTGATGTGTTCAGATGATCCAGCTGGTAGGCACAGATTAATGGTCTTGTTGGAACACTTGCTTTTGTAGGATCTCAGCGTTACATAGTCATGCGAGTTTCGGAAACCCATCAGTTGAAAGATGGCAGCCATAAAACAGCCTCAGATCCTGATTTTGGAAAGACGGTGAAAGATCTGCCACAGTAAGAACTTCCCTTTCTAATTATTCATAGAAATTTGTATTGAATTTGTCTTTGGGGTGTGGGAAAAATTACCCCAACACTGTCTTTGTTACTTTAACTGCATGTATTCATGAGTCAGAGACCGCGTTCATGCAATACAGGAATTCCAAGCTAACAAAATGCAACTACTATGCTATTATAAGATGTTATGTCCCCAGAATAAACCACAGGGGTTAGCTTGGTGACTGGATTCATACAAGGTGTTACAACACTTGCTGGACTGTAAAATGCTTAGCCAGGTCACTTACAAACTAGGAGTAGCAGGAATACAACGTGCTAATGTCAGTTAGTTTTAACCACGAACAATTGTTGCATAGTAGTCTATTTGGTTGAGTGTACTCAACTCATTTGGTACGGTTCAATCTCTTCTAGAAACCCCCAAAATGTGTTAAGTAACAAGTTGTGTCAACATAGCCAGTGGCTGGGTCCTACAACATGCTGAGTCATAATGTCACTTTAGCCTAGTCTCATTTGCTGTTTTATTCCTTTCATGAGTCTGCTACCAAACCGAAGACAGTGTTGGATTGTCTTTTAAAGAGAAGATCCAAACAAATGTATCCTTCATTTCAGATACCGTTGTGCTGCATTCAAAATACAATGCAATGGTTCAGAGCTATATCTTCATTGTACATCTTCCTGAGCTGGTGCTCATAAAGACAGAGAATAAACAGTATTCTTGACAAATAGGGCACACCAGAAATCTGAAATGAACTGAACTCAGAATCACAGGATCTAGAGAAGGGAGAGTGATTTTGTTAATGCTAGAGTTAAACTGTTGGAAATCATGAAATTAAATCTACTGTAAGCCCACCTTTGCAAAGAAAATCTGTATTTCTCTTAGGTCTCTTGATATATACATGGGGAAAAAAGCAACCATACAGCAGCCATTGTTCATCTAAGATCTTAACAGTAAAATAGATAGGGAAGCTGTATCTTTTCAAATGATGCTTAACTCCAATTTTAAAAAATAAAAACTTTTCTCAACCACTCTTGTGCCTGAGTGGCAAGATGTTTATTTAGAAAGTAGGTACCAAAAATTGTCAGACCAAAAGATTTCCCTGGAGGGGATGCTTAAATGAAGGAGACCTTTCCTATGTATTCTAAAACAACCTCAAAGCTCTTAGGAGGTGTCTTCAGACCTCAATCTTCTTGCTTCCTCCTCCTTCCCCTCGCTTCTGAACTGCTTTCTCTCTTTCTTCTGGGATATCTTACCCACAAATATCATAATTCAGATCTCTCCCCTATATAACATCAATGCTTAGAGTCTTTTAAGGTGGAAGTGATTTATACATTTCATAAAGTAAGAAGTGATATCTGTAACTGGCTACCACATCTCAACAGGAATCATCTAGTTTCAGATAGGTTTGGATTCAGAACTAATGAAGAAAAGTGTGGGTCAGAAGCAAAATGTGCCTTACAATTTCTCAGGTGTTTTCTTCTCTTGTGAAAATGTTTTTTTTTTCCCCCTTCCTTGTTTTCAGGATACTTGAGAATTTCTTTCATATTTCTTTTGGTGTTATTCTTGAGTCTATTTCATTGTTGGAAGGTGTGTGCAATGAACACTGCAGGTGTTGCTTTCTGTTACACATTTTCCACCACTTGGAGGTATCCTTAGCTGTTCATGCTTCCATATCTGAAAAAGCCCCATGAGAGGGATGCCCGTCCCTTGGGGTTTAATTTAAAGTTTGGGGGTCAGGAAGGCTCAGGCACTGGAGAGATTATTCTATATGGACAGGACATTCACACATATCTCTTGGACATCTTGTCACTAAATAAATGTAAGAACGTCCCCTCCATCCCTGAGACCTTCACCAACATCCAATTCTCCTTTGAAAGGAAATTTGAAAGCAAATTCTCTTTCATCAGATTGAAGAGAACTGAGTGGGGGCGAGGATGCAGATGTATTTACAGGGACATGGACATGAACATGTCCAAGAGTTGAACCTAACTTGAAGGAGACTTATTTAGGAACTAGCTGGCACATTTAGTAAGTAGCTGGAAATGGTCAAGAATGTTCTAAGCAGGAACATTAAAGAAAAGAAGCATCATTGTACATCAAACTGATTCACAAATTTGAAAGTTGAGCTTTATGGAACTTCATGGACAGATGGTACAGCTGACCTAGGGCTCAGACAGACTGGTCATGGTTTTAGAGGACATCCATGAAGCAAAGGACTCAACCAGGATTGCAGTTGAAATGGAAAGCTTGGAAGAAGAAGGAATATGGTGCTGAACCCGGACTAATGGGTGGAACACACCACCACCCTTACTTGAAAACAGCCTTGATTGATACAGTTGTTAGTAAATAGTCACATAGAACCTAAACTACAGATACTTTGAATAGTAGGACCAGCTTGGCCTATTAATGCTTGGACCACAATGGCATAACCATATTGTACAAAGGAGAACAGGAAGTTCATATGCCTCATTTGAAACCTATAGTTGAGATTGTACCCAACGTCCATGTAGAATTCAGCATAATCTCTTCAGCACATTGATTCCGGTGGCTTAAGCACATAAAAGATTGTGTTGGATTAAGTACAATCCAACATTGCTTTTGTGTGTATGTGTATGTATGATTTATGTTGAAAAAAATCAGCCCGGTAACTGAGTGAAATTCTTGACTGTTATTGAGTGAAATTCTTGACTGTCTGCCACTTTTCAAGATCATGACACAGTTATTCTGCACAAGAAAATTAAATTCAAAAATAGCACTTAAAAGCCAGGCAGAGTGTGACCAACTAAGTGAGCAAAAATGGGAAGAAAGCAGAATGTTAAGTTATGATTTTAACCTTTTTTCCCCGAAGTATTGATCCAACTTCCATTAAATAGAAGGATGAAGGAGAGGTGTTTTCATTAAGGAACTGTTTCTCAACCTCTGCAAAACCCCTAAATTACTTCCTTACTCCAATACTAACTATGCAGTTGGGTTTATGCATCATGCTTAACCTTGAACTTAGTTTAACTAAATACAGTGGTATTTCTTTAACATGCTGTGCCCAAACAAATATACCTCATTATGATTTAATATGGCCTGGTCCACACAAGATGCTAAGACGGTGGCTTGGTTCCCACAATACACTGAGTCACAGCCTAGGTTTAGTCTAGCATGGCATGAACTCAACCCCTACGTTTTGCTGCTATCCTTCCTTTTTTGATAACCTTGACTATTCAGATAGAAAGAACTACTGTGTGACATAGATTCTCTGGTTAATTCCCTTCTTTTTCTAATTTCTGAGTAGTGAACTGGAAAAATGTTAAGTAAAACAGAAGAAAATACCACAAATTGCATTTTAGAACAAGATTAGTTTTCACCAGATTTAACTGTCTAGAAAGATAGACATCTTGCCAACTGATGCATTCCTAGGACACTCTCACTTCTGGGAAAGCATTGTGGGAGGAAACATTGTTCAGCAGCTGTTACAGAATATCACAAGGGAGTTCATTTACAAATAATTGTCTCTAACAGATTTTTTTTTTAGCAAGCCATTTTCTCCATGAGATATTCCTCTGCCCCCAGTAATGTGTTTTTCCCCCTCACACTTCAATAATGAAGTTCTTTTGGGGGAGCATTTTTCTTGAATAGCTAGGGATTTTTTTTTTATTGGGAAGCTGTATTGGGATATGCAAAGGGTAATGCTTCAGTCCACATACTGCATATTAACTTGGTTTAAATGTGCAAGAAGAAGAAGTCATGGAAAGCTTCTTTATCCCAAAGCGATACACTGTCTTGTAAACTGAGCACAAGAGCTAGATTTGCACAACGCACAAGGCTAAAATACGGTTGCTGCTTTGCGGGTCACTGTGTCAAGTAAATACACTCATTAGGCTGGATGTGTACAACTTCTTCCCATTGCTGAAGGTGTTGAAGTGTGCAGAGACTGTCCCTAAAATTGTGTAAGCAAGAAATTCAGCTCTGTTGGATCTGTATAAATCCAACTGATCTTCATTTCTAAAAGATGGACAAGTAGTTGGGGATGTCTTGCCTCCCTAGGACTTTTCTTTAGCTAGGAAAAAGCATCACAACTGGAACCATTTCCTAGAAGAAGCACAAATAATTTCCAGATGTCAGATTTGCTGGAATTTCTTTTGCCACCCATCCCTTTCAGGATTCAGTCTTACCTCCAATCAGTGCTTTCCAATCTGGCAATCATAGATATTTTAAGACTGCAATTTCTAGGATTCTCAGCTAAGGTTTGGTAACTCTGAGTTTGTAATTCCATCACATCTGGAGAAAGTCAGGAAAATCTGTCACAAATTGTCTGGATCTGTTTCATTCATTGTTCCAATATTCTTCTAGATAATAATGTCCAACTAACCATAGTTACCTACAATTTTCTTCTTGCTTTTATTAAAATAAAGTTCATTCACCATGCTCCACTTTTGGGAATGGCATTGGACATTTAGGTTTTAATTCATATTTATTTTATTTCCAGATCTCTAAGAAATATATAAGCTGGCTTGTTATTGACCAAAATGTGCAAACATGCTGCACACATTTAAGAATAGGAAAGAAATGGCAAACTAAGAGAAATTAAACTTTACAGATTTGTTGTAACAACACATATATTTCACAAATTCTTTTACAAATTACATGTTCAGAATGAACAGACCTTGTTCTAAGAAGATGTTCACCAAACACCATTTTCATTCATTCTTGAATCTCCAGTTGGCTCTCACTTTTTCTTTATTCTTTCTCTATTCATTCTCACCTATGTGTTCACGTCATCTAACAGGATTATTTTTTCCCTGGATTCCATCCATTCAAGATGTTACACAGTTTTTCCCCATAATGCATCCTTGATCACTTCTTCCATGATCACCATTCCCCAGAGGACAATATAACCAACTTATGGATTCCTATCTTGATATGCACCCACCACTTAGATTACTTACTTTCTGAAACTTAACCCCTTTCATTCATAACTGTCTCTATATCTTTACATACCTGCATGTATTCTTCAATGTCACTGCAAAAATTTACACTACCTTCATTTGG